GCTGCCGCTGAAGGCGCATTAAATTTGATTCATACTGAAACTAAAACACAGTTAGACAATCTACAATGATTTTTTTTCTTTGCCTAAACCAAGTAATTTGAAAATTTCTAAAAAACTATAAATAACATCTTTTCGAACAATTCCCTTTTCTCTTACATCGTTGATTTAACTTTTTTAATTTTTTTATAATAATATTTCATAACAAACCGAGTTTCAGTTATGCCGCTGATTTAAAACATGTGCACATTTAACGGACAGGGACGAAGATCAAGATTTTAGTCAATAGAAACGCACATTGAAATAAGAAGGAAAATCGAAGGGGAAAGTGGGAAATAAGAATTAAGAAATCAGTAAAATTAGTGAAATTATTTTAAAATAATTATAGTTATGACAAAATTAATTAATAATAAAGAAAATTAGTTATAATAAAGCTGGTTATAATAAAATTAATCAATAAAATTAATAAAACAATTATAATGAAATTACTACGATTATTATAATAAAACTGTTAAATTATTTTTTCACATATACTACGGGCTTCAGTCTATAATATTTCCAGCGTATACTTAACTATTAATTTATATCTATCCAATGAATAATATTTACAATACTGGTTAAGCCTACTGTCTTAGCATTTAATGTCAAATAAATATGAATGAGCTTCAAAACAATTTCCTGAAATCTAAAGTTCCAGAATTTGGATAAGATACAACCGCAGCTATTTCGATAATGTTAACTTACTGTGAAAAATTGACTTACAGCATCGTTAGTACTATCAAGTTGAGGTAATCCGATGAGCGCGCCATGGTGAGTGGGAGAATCGGGTGATGACGATAATACTGTGGGTGAGACAGTAGAATTGGTTGGACTCAACATCTAAAATAAAATTCCTTGTGTTTTCCAATTTTTCAAAATCAAGGAGCAAAATTATCCTATAATTTGTGAAGTTTTTTAGGACCAAGAGCCAGAAGACTTTCATGGTACCGTACCTGAAAAAGGCGAAGGCACACCCAACTACGACTAGGATATGAAAATTGTTTCTGCTTCAGTAAAAACAAAACACTGAGGCCGGTAGCTTTTTCCTACGGGTTCTGGGCGAAATGGGAGCAAACTAGGAATGATCTGAGTTCCACATACTTGAATACCACATTCCTAGGCAATTTGCAAAAATAATGGGAAAACTTCTTACTACCAATATATGGAGAATTTCACTGAGAAAAAAAATGAAGGAAATTTTCCAAGTTGCACTTGTGCATTCAGTTTTCAGCAGGGTGTGGAACAGCCTTTTTTCTCCAAAACAGCGCGATGAGCACAATGACTCTGAGGGCCTATACACCACATCCAATCACATCACTCATAGCTAATTTAAAAGTAAGAAGATGAGGAAGCAACAGCACAAACCGCGTGAACAACTGAAGGACTGACAAGTGTTGGATCGGAGTCCCTTCGGATTTGTGCCGGGCTGAGCATGCTCGCTGAAATTTTGCAAAAATGAGGTCAATACCTCGCTTTTATAATCCTTTCTCAAAAAAGTTGTGAATAAGTTGTGAATACTTTTTATTTAAATCATCAGAAATTTTGCATTTTCCATCTTTTGGCATTACTGGCAAATGTTTCTTGTTAGAACGAAGGATGCTTGGTGTATCTCATTATGAAAGCATAAATAATTAGATTCCTTGTCAGATGAGGGGTGTGCAGGGTGTCATTACAATCATGCAAGAAAGTAAAATCCGACAGGCAGGCCATGTTATTTGCCTTGCCGACAGTCGACGGACGTCGCGCATTAGTGAGTGGTACTAGCCAAAAACTAAACGAAGATTTCTGCGGCTCCCGATGAAGTGGCACACAATATCGAACAGGCTGTGGATACTAACTGAAGATGCTGATTGAAGGCCTGGCGCTTTGGAAACATCCCAGTAACATCACTAAAAGGGTATATTCAAAGTAACTCCCCAGCTTTTCTTAGTATCCTTGGTTTCTTTTTTAACCGAGTGACACCATTTATTTGGAGAGGCTAATTTATGTAATATTTTGTTTTTGGGAAAGTTTTCTTTTACTATCGCTACCCAGGCTAATAAATCGGGGATAGGATCATTCAACGCAGTCAGTTCCAAGAGAGTCTGACATAGATACACTGCTGAATTCAGTGCTATGGACGGGGTCCACACCGAGAATCAAGCCATGATGTTGCATTCCGAAAGCATCGAGGGCTCTGTACGGAGCGATTTTGCTTATTTTTCCGTGAAGTCTCCTTTCTTGCCCTTCTAATTAGTAATAAATGGTAACGCGCACCAGACTAGCCGTGCGATCATGCTTTTTGTGCAATTCAGCCCATCGAACGATTGACTGTTAATGATTTTCACTGCTTTGTGCTTTTGTTTATGCAAAAATAGTTCAAAAATTGGAAAATAGTTAAAAATTTCACGCACTAGCGCACGAAAATTAATTCGAAACTTTGAAGGGTGAATATCTTTCCGTGATTCCCTAGTGATACTCAACAGCGAGGGAACGTTGAATTTGAACAGGCAAAGTTGAGCATGGGCAGGGAGTTATTACCCTAAAATTCCAGCTTCCTAGACCCCGTGGTTCCCGAGATAATAGTTTATCCGTAAAAACTTTCACCACCTCGTAGGTGATACCCGAGAGCACGGGAACACTGAATTTGAATGGACAAGGTTGAGCGTGGGCAGGGGGTCATTACCCTTAAATTTCAGCCTCATAGACTCCGTGGTTCCTGAGATGTTGATTTATCTGTAAAAAAATTTCACGGGATCGTACGAGTTACCCGCGGGTACGGGAAAGCTGAATTTAAATTTGCCGCGTCATCCGCTGGCGGGGAACACTATACCAAAATTTCAGCCGCCTAGCTTTTGTGTTCCCGAGTTGAAAGTGCGGGACAAAATACGGGACATACACACAAACACACACATAGACAACCCTGTGACAATATGCGTTTTGTAACGCTGTTACACAGCACAAAATGCATAACAAATAGATGGAGAAATACGTGGTGTGATCGCGGTTGCTGCAGTGCTCGGCTGACTCGAGGTAGTTATACTCATTGGCGTTGCGAGTTTGCTAGCTCCAGTACTGCTGGTTGCTGGACCTCCTCCGTCACCTCCGCCTGAGCTTCTTCCGCTGCTATTTGATGTACCTCGGTTTTGCGGTTGCTGTTGCTGCTGTTGTTGCTGGAGGTGATTTAAACGGGAATTTTTTCGCCGCCTCAGCTGTTCCTCATTTAAAATCCATTCCTTTTTCATGCCAACCTGCAAAAATCTCATTTATGCGTCTTCCGATGAAACTATCGCAGTGAACCTGGAACTCATGAGTGCTCTGTTTGAAGTTTAAATGTGCTACATTGCAGACCAAGTAAACAGGCTGCTTTACGTTACGCTGTCCAATTCGATTAAATGCAAGA